TCGATGTTCAGCGTAAGTCCCAAAGCTTCGTATGCCCAGGTATATGCGCTTAATTAAACTCGCAGTGTACCGAGCAATAATAATTCCCACTATATAGAAGCAAAACCGGGGTGCCGTACCGCCGACACAAAAACGCATTAAACAAGTTGCAACAGAGACACCTTAGATAACTGTTAAGAATCAAATGGTTCCACCATGTCTCAAACGTATCGGTTCTTCTTGAAAAAGCTAGTTGCAAGAGCGTTGAAGTCATGATTACAAAATTCCGCTTAAGATGGGCTGATACTTTTTATTTTTAGAATTTTTACAAATTATACGTTCACATTTAACTTCCTTATCACTTTTAGGATAATTCAATAATACAAATTTTCGTATACACGCTATTTAAACCCGTGTATTTGTATATACTAGTTGTTTATGATATTCTCCAATGGTGGCAGCACCGGCGGAGAATGCACCAAGCCTATACCGAGGCATAAAAGGTTTATCGCGACCATGATATTAGATGTGTCTCGCGGTACCTAATGCGTTGATAATATTTTTTCGTATCCAAATATTCATATAAAATGTGATGTACCAGCCTCAGTCATCTTACACACGCACTTTCATTCTAAGTTCATCGAATACCATTCCATGGATTTTTTCGATTTCGATTTCTGGTGTGACTCCTTTTGTGCAACCTAAACATTCTGCGTCACTTGAGCTGGTTCGTTGACAACGGAACTCAGTAAATCTCTTCTTAACTATTGAAATTGATGGTGCCTCATAGTATTTATCAGGTCTTTGGTTAGTTTAGGTGATAGTTTACGCAAAGTAAGGTTTAATCAACACACATGAAATTAACTATTTTCTTTTTGCGTTAAAATGCACGAGGTTGTCTGCGTTAAATGGTTGTCAGATCAAAACCATAGATAAAGCAAACAAGTTTAGATTGGAAAGTGCCCATAAGGACAATGTAACTGAACAATGACTATTTAGCGTTCTTACAACGCAACGGTCCCTTTCCAAAGCTTTTTATAATTTCTAAGCGGTTCGGATTTTTCAAATTAAATTTATTAATATTTTCTTTTAATTTGTAAGAAACTTTATTTTACATAAGGATATGTATGAAATACCTACGAAACATTGGAAACTTATTTTATGTTATAACATATTATGTTATACCACGATCCACGATAGTTTTTGCAGTTCACAGTTCACATTGCTTTTTTAGGTTTTAATGCCACGTTTTCACAATTATCACGGGTTTGAGTAAACAAAATTTAAATTAAACTCAAAAGATAGCAATAATTATTTTGAAAATGGACGCTTTAAACACTTTTCGGTAATTTTTCATTGAGGGCAATTTAAATTTTGAAAGATTTTATAATTTTTGAAGACTCTGACTTTGAAAAGAGAAAATTATTTCTGTTCCTGTTTACGGTTGTTCTTAGCAACTACTATAGCAACACCAGATCCTGTACAAGGTATGCACCCCAAAACAATTATAAGTTTTGGCGCAAGCCGAGCATTCCAATCTAAACTTGTTTCCTTTATCTCTGTTCAAAACTAATAACGTGGTATGCTCAAAATTTGACAGCAATCTATTAACAGATGACAGTTGATAGGAGCAATGCTGCATTTAAAGTAACTGCTTGAAAAATGCAAAAAGTCATTGACTTCTCAAACTGCCCTCGTACATCGTACCTACATACAAGTAAAATAATTAAAAATCGATTACTTGTTGCTACGGCACTGGATAGGACACGATTATCAAATATGTATATTAATAGACACATGCTATATTTCAATCAATTGATCAATCAAAAATTGTTTAAACTCGTTGCTAGAAAAACGTCCACAACTTCAAATTTGACCGTCCATTACCAGTAAATAGTAAATAACAAATATTAAACTCAATTATGTTGCTACTGTAATAATAATAATGTTACAAATTGAAAAACTCTTTTTGTTAAAAGCTTGCATCTAAAAAATGTAGTTACTGTATTGTTCTAATTAATAAACATAATAGTCTGTCATGTATTTTTATCGATAAAATAACAGCAAGGAAATAAAGCAACGTTGAAGCTATGATATTATAAATTAATAAAAGGTCATTTTATGTCCTCTTGATGCCAGCTTGACCTAAATAAAAATGGTCTATGCTTTTTAGGACACAAAATATTGATTGGTTTCTCTGGAAAGGTTATTGTATTAAACTATATTGCAATTTTGATAGAGAATGCTATTACATATTGGAACATATCGCAGCAGACATTGTAAAAATATATTGGTTAAAAATGTATTTTTATATGTCTCTATACTGTATTATGTCTCAAAATTTAAAAATTGTTATTGACATTTAATAGAATAATATATTTATTAACATAAAAATAGTGGATATTTTATACAACAAATACTATAATTCTTATTTATTCTTAACATATCCCTAAGACGATAACTCGCCCTGCTGACAGAAAATAACCCATTAGTTAGTAATATCTATTGGAAGGAAAACAATCACCATCTATTTTGTAGACATAAAAAATCTTGTGGCAGTTTCTAAATTATTCAGAAAATAATTGTTATGCTTGGGTTAAATGTCAAATAAAGTTATTATTTGTATAAAATGGCTATTTTTTAAAGATTTCATTATTTATTAATAAAAAAATCCATTTAATGTTGTTGGAATCTTAAATGGTTTTTAATATTTTGACGCTCATTAGATCATTAGCCCCCCCCTAAACAAAAAGATTTGGCCAGCGGATTTGGTCTGCGGTCATGATCTGCCGACTTTGCCTTTCACGTACCAAAACTCTTGTATTTTGATCTGAGGACTTGACATGCTGACTTGATCTGCCGATTAGATCTTTGCATGATTAAATATTTTTGATTGGTACAAAATTCGACGTTTTATAGCAGTTTTTATATAGATAAATGTTTATCGGAATAAAAATTGCCGCTTATAAAAAAAAGTGTAAAAAAGGTCTGCCGACTTTATCCTTCGTTTTTTAGATCAATCTCAAAATAATTACCGTCAAGTCAAGATAGCGTAAATTCAATTTAAGTAGCTGTTTTCTAATGTTAATATAAATTTGCTTGTATTACCGATTTTCTTATTACCTACATTAATTTATTCTAGGTATAAATGAAACTAATACCATATAAAATAAAACAGATCATATATACTTACGTGGATAAGTAAATCACTATGGAAACTGTCGCAAAAAAATCAACGACCATTTATCTTCTTTTTTTGTTGCTCACGCGGTGCTTCTACTCTATCTATCCTTGTCGAGGACCTATCGTCCACGCGCCAAATTTGAACATTAATTTTAAAAATTTAATTTGTAAAATGCTTATATTTGAACGATAAATTGAATGTTTACTGTCATAAAAATTAAATTATATAAAAAATACATTTAGCCACTCCGTACGAATATCAATATTCTTAGGAAATCTAACCAGAAAGTATGCATGTGGCTTAATATAAATAAAAGAATAACTGAATACTTTACTTGCCTATGAAAAGATAATTCGGGGATCTTTATATTAGAACTTTCACACACTAAACAGTTTCTATATAGTCATTTTTACGAGTATTTCGAAAATTCAATGAAAAAAAATAGAAATATAGTTGCACAAACTTAAAGTTAACTTCTTACTGAACACACTTGCATCCTTGGCTATATAAAAGCGGCCGATAAAAGAATATTTAATACAATTTAAAAAAAAACGCAAAAAACAAGCGTCGTTACACAATGGAAATAAAATTATGACATGATTATGGCAATATGATGATAATGAAAAGTTGGTTTCCATAACAATGTATAATTTGTACTTTCTAAACCGTATAAAATTGTGATTATTTTGGAAATATGAAAACTTTTATTGCGCATGCGCAAAGTAAGGTCCTCGAGAGAGATAAACCTATTGAACGTTTCATAAGTACAATAAAGAAGGTTTGAAAATGGCATGTCGTGATGTTGGAGACATATTTTTTAATGATAAACTTATGGCGTTGATTTATCCACGTAAGTTTATATGATCTAGGATTATTAAGCAATGTCACACTATAAACTTCAAAGGATATTTGAATTTTACTGTTGTTGCATATACACTGTTTTTTTTCTCAGGTAAGATTTCGACAGACGATGACAGAAAAAAAGCAGATGACTTTCATACCAATCCTTATATTTCACTAAAAAAAGTTTCTAATATTTTTTAAGTTAACTATGGATGGGTTTATAAATAAATACGTCATGCGACGTCTCTTGTTGTTTTTAACCAATTTTATTGGTTTATTTCAAAAATGACAGATCATATTTCAATACTATCGGTTTGACGGAACGATGAACGACAAACGGACGCCGATGCGTATGAACTCGCCTTAACATTTTTGAGAGTTCTCAAACTCTTGCCAAATTATAGGTGATCATTTTGTGTCAAATTATGTCAAATAGAAATGATAAATATTTTGTATTTTACATTTTGGACTTTGTTGTTACTTGTGTTTCGTGTTTTTTAAAATTAAGTAGAGGAAAACTCGAAGGAAAATTAAGTGTTGACCCAGATCATAGTTTACAGCTAATATTCGGTGTCGAGAGACCGCCAGAGACACAGTTTACCAGAGACTATGGCCAGAGAGTTGTATTAGCCAAAAATAAAGTTGTATACCATCTCGTATATGGTACCAAAAACTGGAGTATCTGTAAAATAACATCACACGATAGGTAAATAATACATTTTAGTACTGCAGATAAATAATGCCATAAGGTACTGGTTTAAAAAAATTACGATTAAAGTTAATTAACCAACTTTTATCAGTGGGTTTTGCTTAAAAGTGTTTTATAATCTATTAAATAGATTATAAAAAACGCATTATTCGACTATTTTTGCCTATTTTACATAATGGTCGTAGGTAAAATACAATAAACACACACTTTCGACCCAATAGAGAGGTAAATGTTAAGCATAACACGAGAAAAAAATCTTAAGCACTTAAAACAAAATCCACTTACCGCTCATCTTTCCATTTTTTAATTTTCAAATCCTCGACGAACTTGTAGTCAAATTGAGGAACGGTGTAGACGATAAAGTGCTCGGATGTGTCGGTGGTCCATGGTAGGCCGCACCTTTCACGATCTAAATGGGTTTCGATCTCCTGATACACTTTTTGATACTGCTGCAGGCTGCAGGAACTGGCACACGATTCGTCGTCCCCTTCGTATCCGCTAGAAAAAAAAATAAGTTTAGTATTTTGCTACTTTTAGTTGTAAGTGGGAAAATAATTAGTTACATTGAAATTATTAGTTACATAGATATTATTAATATTCTTATATTAGATAAGCTTTAACTATTAAGTGGCATTTATAGTATATAGTTTTATTAATAGTATATAGTGTCCCTTTTGTAACTTTCACGAAAAGATTCTGGAGAACCAAATACGAAAGTATTTGTTTTCTTCCTTTTTTTGCCGGAACAACTAGATCAGGGCTTTATGAAGATTTATCTTTATTTAAATATGAAGATGATTTTAAAAAGTGTATAATTTAATGAAATTATACAGGGTGAGTCTTAAATAAGGGCAAATATTTTTAGGGGTAGTATATTTCGACCCCAGAAATAGGATTATGATTTTTTTGGCGAAAATTTTTTTGACAAATTTGGAATTTTTTGATTTTTTTTTCGAAATGTCTTTAAGTTAACAACATAATTTCATAATAATATGGCAAAATAAATAGTAAATTAAATTTACAAGGAAGAAAACCCAGAAAAGATCCAGTGGTTCTCAAAATTTAAGCAATAAAACATTTTTTTTAATTTTCAAAGTAAAATAAAGGTTGATTCTCTATACCTTCCGCATCAGCTTTCTATATATTCTATAGATTCTCACTATACCTTCCGTTTCCCTTCCGTTTACATAAAATATATTATATTATGTAAATAAATAGGACAATGCACACGATCCGTTCCGTTTCCCTTCCGTTCCATATCCTTTCCTTCCATACATTTTTAAGCGTATCGGAAATAGCGTTGTCAAGTTCTTACCTTTGTACCAGCTCTGTTAACATTTTGCTGATATTTATTTATTCTTTCACCTCTTAATTAAGTCTATTACCTTTTTCCAAAGATACAAATTTTTAAAATCAAACTTTCGTAATGATATAAATTGTACAATAAAAAGTATGGTAATTGATGCGGAAACGAAGCTTACGTATAGCGTCACTACAATGAAAAATACGGAACGGATATGTAATGGATATAAAATGGAAACGGAAGGTATAGTGAGAATCAACCTTTACTTGGTTATTTTGGACTTGCAAAACGGTAAAGAGAAAATATGTTTCTTTTATCGAAATTTACCAGCTCTGAAAATATTTGCACTTATATAAGACTCACCCTGTAGAATAATATTACATAGTCGTTTTAATAGTAACTAACTCAAATTGTCAGGGACGTACGTATCGTATCACAGTCACTCTGTTTCCGTTCAGTATATTAGAAAACAATATTTTGGCGGATGCCGGATACTTTATTTAACATTGCAAATCTTATTGTATTTTTTCTTGTGTCATCTTTATCCAGTAGAAGAGTAATCGCACATTTTTATAAGAGAAAAGTGATGATACCGATGTAAAACAGTATTAAACAAAAACCGTTTTATGTATTAATATGTGAGTACACGATCCGGTAGCTCTAATGCAAGCGCCAATATTATATCAACCCTAACGTTTAACTACTGTAGTAGTAATCGCGTTTAACGTCACTTTACTTCACTGATTGAGCGGTAACTGATAATGATATTGACATGCCTGTATCGATGTCCTTTATTCGAAATTTATGCAAAAAATACCAGCTGTGTAATCAAGTACGTATAAACATCATGATCAAACGCAAGCAATATACAGTCTTAAATAAGCGCAAATATTTTCAGGGCTCGTATACAGGGTGGTCCGAACTGTATTCCGGAAACTTCGGTAGCGTATTCTGCAGATAAAAATATGTAAAAAAGTTCGTATAAATATATGTCCTAAAATGCTTAGTTTCAGAGATATTTCGATTTTTTCTAAATAATTTCTGAAGTAACGTCAATATTTGGATGAAAATTGGTGTCCGGATGTTTTTTGATATGAAAATTTGATTTTGATGTCAATATGACTCCTACTAGTAGAGGGCCCCACCTATATATGTTTAAACTGTTTTGAAGCGTAATAACTTTTTGTCCGTACCTGTATAAAACTACCGAGTGAAAAAATATACATTTCCAACACTTTTTACGTAAAAAAATATCTCTTTGTAAAAATCGCTACGAGCAACCGTTTTTAAGATATTTAGAATGGCAATATTCAATATGTGTCATTATTGAGGAAAAATAAACACGTTGAGTAGATAGTTATTCCCCTGAAATAATAAATTTGGGAAATTTTAGTTTTTTTAAATTAATCATAAATTTTTCCGCAAGAAATGATGATAAAACAGTTTCTGTTGAACTTTTGGCACAAAAACATTTCAAATTTATGGTTTCAGTCTAATAACTAGTTAGTCAACATGTTTAATTTATGTCAAAGATGACAGGTGTTGATAATTTCGATTCCAAATATCTCGAAAACCATGACTCCTAGCGATTTTTACCAAGAGAACTTTTTCACGTAGAAAACGTCGTAAATGTATATTTTTTTACTCAGTAGTTTCATACATGTACGGACAAAAAGTTATTACTCTTCAAACGAGTTAAAAAATATGTAGGTGGCGCCCTCTATAAGTAGGAGTCGTATTCACATCAAAATCAAATTTCTCATGTCAAAAAACTCCCAGACACCAATTTTATCCAAATATTGACCTTACTTCAGAAATTATTTGGAAAAAATCGAAATACATACGAAACTTCTACATCCTGTATCTCCGAAACTAAGCCTTTTAGGACATATATTTCTACGGACTTTTTACTTATTTTTATCTGCAGAATATGCTGCCGAAAATTACGGAATACAGTTTGGACTACCCAAATTAAAATATTTTCTCTTTACCGTTTTTCAAATAAATCCAAAATAACCGATCCATTTTACGGTTTTTTTTTATGAAAATTTCACACCTCTACTTTTCAACCAATAACATGCTTTAATGTTGACTAGTTACCGTGGCAACTGAAAAAATTTCCGGAAATTTTTTCGAGGCGCCACGAAACTTTAGTGGAAATTTTTTGACAGTTGAAAAGGTAAACATAAGATCTACAATCATAATGTGAATGAACTACAATGTCTATATATTGAAATATTACCCATTTGAGTTTTAGCATTTGATGTAACTAATTAAAAATAATAATATTTGTTAATATTATTAACAAATTAAAATTATTTTAAAATGTCATGTTGGATTAATATTTTTTTTTCAAATTTAGGTGTGAAATTTTCTTACCGAATACCACGCAAGCTTAAATTTTCGGGCACGAATATTTAGGAAAATTATCCCTCGTCTTCGACTCTGGATATTTTTTCAAAATATGATATTGATAATTATATATATCTTCGATATATATTTATCAATATATATATATATATATATATATATATATATATATATATATATATATATATATATATATATATATATATATATATATATATATATATATATATCTCTTGTGATATTATAAGTGAAAATTTCCCCCAAAAAAAAAAAATATTTTTTTTCCCCAAAAAAAAATATTTTTTACTAAAATTTTGAGAACCACTGGATCTTTTGTGGATTTTTTTTTCTTGTATATTTAATCTACTACCTATATTGCCATATTATCAAGAAATTATGTTTTCTAACTAAAAAGTTTCCAAAAACTTTTTCAAAAAATTCCAAATTTTCATTTTTTTTACGTAAAGAAACTCATAATCGTGATTCTGGGGGTCAGAATATAATAATAATAATAGCTTCCGTATATAGCGTTTAACGCCTTGGGAGTAGCAAAGTACAGCTTGCCATACCAGAGCCGTTCGGTATATAAGGAAGGTAGTGTGGCTAGTATTACGCTTCAACCCTCTATTATTACCTCAGGATTGTGAATCCCAAGTACTCATTTAAAGCTGAGTCGACCTAGGTATACCCAAGTAGCATCTATCTGACTTCGAACTAAATCTGACCTGAAGCGACGTCAGACTTTGTGCAAATTTAGGTCGGGTGCTGGTGATACGACTGGTGACGTCGCTTTTCTATTAAAAGTGACGTCGTTGGATCCGAGTCGGCAAATCCAACGATCTGTCGACGTACAAAATAACAACGTACCATTTTTATTAATTTCCCAACGTCGTTCCAACGTTGGCTTGCACGACGTACCTATACGTGAACTAGCCCGACGTCTACCCGTTGTCCGAATAGGATACGTCTCACTGATAACCCCTAAAGTAACGTCCAATTATATTTTGTTGTATTTCATGTTCATATTTTTAACCTAATTTACGTATCTCTCTTTACGTCCGTAAATACAACCTATTAAGTAGCATTTGCGGCCTAATAAACATCATGAACATAACCTAATAAAAAGTTTTTGTAAACAAACTTAATTTTTTTATTATGCCTAAAAAAAACACTAAAAAGGCATTTAGACATTCATCTACATTTTACAGAAAGAGGTCGAGGCTTTTGCAAAATAATAATAGTAGTAGTGATGTCTTCCCTCCGCCCACGAATGCTTTTTATCCAGAAGAGATGCTGGTGCATCTTAATTTCATTTTTTAGCTTAGGAAACCAGCAGACCCCATCCTCCTCCCATATGTGAGGTACTGGTTCCAGTTCTTTTAAATTTTGTATATACTATCTTAAAAAAGTGGCTGCCCATTGTTTTAAAGAGAAAACAAAAACTAAAATATAGTTGCACAAATCCACAAATCACTGATACGCAGAGTGAGGTTACGTGGCGTACGTTGGAATTATATACGTCATAATACGATTGCCGGTCGTCCGGTTTGATGACTTCGGTCGTGTGAGACGACTAATGTTGGAGACCAGGTCGGAATTGGTATATTGGTAGTTCATATTAAGTCGGACACAGAAATCCGCCATTCTTAACAGGTATCCGATTGTCAGCCATTTTAAAATCGTTTTTTGTTTTTAAAATTTATATTCATATTCCGATTTCTAGTAGAATAATATTGATAAGGTTGAGTTTGGGGGGAACCACAGTACAGATTTATGATTAAACCAGCTAGAAATTAAAAAAAATATTTTGCGAGTTACTTTTTTA